GTAAATAACGGTATTTTTGACTAAATTACATAAAATTTATAAAGAAACAAGTTATTTCAATATATTGGAACGACAGACATTTCATATATTTAAAAGCTAAATAAATGATGTTATTAATACAGATAATACTTTATAAGCATAATAGATATTGTTTTGTTGCATATTGATTATAATTGTACTCTATATTTTAATTATTTTAAGACAACATCTCAATATAATATTGATTTAAGCGTAGTTAGAGATTCGATGAACGTTGTCTCGCTATAATTTAAATTTAGAATATGTATAATCACAGTATACGACAAAAAAAAAATAGTATCAATTAGTCTAGTAAAGTATTATTTGTATTAATAATACAAGTATGGAATACTTACTTCACTTTTAAAATTGAAGTACAGTATACAGAAGTAAAATGTCATTCAAATAATAGTGAAAAGTAAAGTATATTTATAGTCATCGACATTATACTATATTATAACTTTGTAACTATTTTCACACAAAAGTCTTACGGATAAGTGCAAAAATTAAATTCTGGAGCAATAATACAGCGTCGAAATCGTGAAATGTTAAAAAAATATCCAAGTAGAAAAACTGTCAAAGCTGAAGGAAAAAAACCATTTCCCAAATTTTTTACCCTAAAATTCTAGAATTTTTCCATCATTTACATCTTTACGATTGGACATCGATTAGACAAATAGACAAAAGCCACTCATAGCGCTTGAGACTGTAGAAAGTCTCCAAGCACTCGTCTGCTGTGATTGGTGGTCGTCGATTTTAAAAAAGTAATGGAAAAGTAACGAAAAATTACTTTTTCAAGTAACGGTAACTATAACGAGTTATTTTTAAAAATCGGTAACTAGTAACTGTAACTAGTTACTTTTTCTACTCGGTAACGAGTAACTGTAACTTGTTACTTTTAAATAGTAACTTTCCATTCCCTGATTGTCACAACATAGTTTTCGTCAATCTTGATATGATCTACATCTTCAACATAATGTTTGAAGCAATCGTGAACAACAAAGTTTGTGTTGAAACTGAAAAGCCATCCACAGTATCCACATTCATACTATAAAAAAAGGAATCTGTATTATTATATCTAATTATCGGACATAACCTTTTTAATTATTTAGTTATTCTGTGCAAGCGATGTACTAAATTACGTTCAAGTATTGAAAGGATTATTTTTAGAAACTTCATATAAAATTTCTTAGAAGAATGTTATCTTACCCGAATTTGATCCATTTTTTCTAATCGTCCAAAATCAAATTTTACTTGATGATCTCTCGGTCCCGCACATACAGTCACTAATACAAATGCATCACCGGTTTACGCGAAAAATTGGATTTGGCGTATCGGGCAATAGCGTAAAATGCGTAAAAAAAGGTGGATTTGCGTATGATAACTGAAACGATTTGATTGGCTAACGCAAGTTACGCTTACGCAAGTTACGCCGCATGTGATGGCAGCCTTATGGTTTCGTGTTTCACCGATTACTGATTGGTTACGCGTTTCCGTATTTCCGTGTTTTCGCACTCATGTAATATCACCCTGACGGTCTAAAACTTTCCATTGTAGACGGACCTTTAAGCCAGTAACGAATCCAATCTTACGATTTCCTTACTGCTTACGTGTTACGACCTTGGTATCGATCATGAAACTTTTTCCCTAGAGTGGAAACGTGAAAAAGTGAAAAATTTCACAAAAATGAAGTTTCATGTGAATTTATTTTGGTAAAGGTATAGAATACTCCAGTCTCTCTCTATCACTTCAAATTTTGATAAAAATACACTCATTCGACGCGTTTTATCACGAAATAAACGAATCTGGCAGAAAAGTGTCTCTCTGCCCCCCGAACTGAGATAAGTGTTAAAGTTTACGACTATTGAGGTTAGGAAATCCGTCATGTGGACAGTGTGTAATAGACAGTAGTGTTTATTGATTCCAAACCTCAATAGTCGTGAACTTTAACGCTTAATATCTCGGTTTGCGGAGCAGAGCGACGTTTTTTTTTCTGCCAGATTCGTTCATTTCGTGCAAAAACGCATCGAATGAGTGTATTTTTATCAAAATTTGACGTGACCAGAGTATTGAGAATAGAAATGGCAATGACATTCGAGAAAGTATTATACATTTGTATTTTTCTTAAATATATATATTTCTGGTACAAATTGGTATTTTATTTCAGTCATTTTCAAGTATAACATTTTATAATAATCTTACTATATTTATTTCTTTGTATTTTTAATTTTATATTTGTTATATAAATTCTATCAGCGTCATATAAACGTTTACAATGAAATATAAATTTGTAATATTATTATTATTATTCCTCTCTTCAATAGTACAATTACAAAATAAAAGACAGAAACATAATATCTAACATAAGCTATATACAATAATATATTACTCATTCTTTTATAAACTAATTTTTCAAAGACTATTATTTACTCAGTCTTGCTTATTATCAATAAATCTTGTACATATGGGTATACATATGTTATCTATAGAAATTTTAGTTTACCAAAATAAAAGAAACACATTTGATATTAAATTGTATCACAATAAAATAATTATAAACTAAAATTATTGTAACAATTGTAAAATCAAACAAATGTGTTAATAACGTTATAGAAAAAGATAAGATTTTAAAACTAATAAATTCTAAGCAGAATCGTAAAACTCGTAACATGTTCTCGTAAAACTTGTAAGAATTTCTAAGTGCTTATACTTGTATACGATATCTTTCAAGATAACTTCTTGCTAGTTATATGCATATGTATCGTCAGACGATTATTTAATATCTACGATTTACGAGAAAATATAGATATTAAATAATCGTCTTACAATACATATGCATAAAATTAGAACACTAATCGTTCTTACAAGTTTTACGAAAACAAATTACGAGTCTTGCAATTGTGCTTAGAATTGATCCATAAATATGGCAAAACATATAATACGTACCATTTCTTTTCGACTTTCTCCTTTTGTATGTAACCTTCCTCTCGCTACTTGTGGATGCAATCTCATCCATTGAAGCATTATTTCTTTTTGCTCCTATGTTGTATTCATTTACTCTCTAAATCTGAATTAGTAGATAATCACTGATTCTCAGTGACTATTCACTGAATGCATCAGTCCCAAGTATGCCACTGGTAATCAGTTAAATTCAACTAAATGATCAGTGAAACGAATGAACTGTTGATGAACAGTGGAAAGGTCAATTATTGATCAGTGATCAATCTACTGATCAAAAAATAGGATTATCCTGATGGCAATGAATCGCTGAAATCGCTGAAATCTATATCAATTGACCCATTTCAATTATTATTCAGTATTATAATGACATGAGTCAATTGATATAGATTTCAGTGATTTCAGCGATTTATTTCCACCAGGGTAACTATTACAGCAAATCTAGTCGTAAATATATATAACTAATATTTTTTGCAGTCAGAACTATAATCTTACAATAGTATTTTATAGCAAATCCTATTTCTTGTACACTAAATTCATTGATTAATAAGTGAACTTTTGGAAAAAAATTATTAAATTATAAATATTTTTTTAGATAGTACTAATTAAACATTTATTCATACAGTTTAATGTAATTTTTGTAATTACTCATTACAAAAATATATGACTAAATCAAATTAACGTTCATTAAAAATATATCACTAAATCAAATTAACGTTCATTATATAAAACATAATATGTTTACCTTTAGTATATATTAACCAAAATAAATCTCTCTTCCACCCTAGCTTATAGATTTTGCAACGTCAACATTGCAAATGTTAATATGTAAGGAAGAAACAGTGTTTGACGGATTAACATTAATTTCATAAATAAAACTTTCAATAAAATTAAAAAACTGTAAAAGCGAAGGTGGATATGAAACGTGGAGTATTTGATATAATTTAAATAAAAAATCAAACGCTGCGATCAAAGTTGCTTGATGCAGAAGATTAAAAAACCACTCGACGCCCTGGACAAAGAAAGTGTTGACCTTGTATGCGCATAATACATGGTTGTATGTTGCCCTTCGCCTCAGCTCTTATATTTTTTTTAGTATAAGGGAGATTTGTCCCTTCCTGTAAAACAAAGGTGTATGTCAATAATTCGTAATGTATTCTTACACACATGACATAAAAAAACTTAAAAACATTCGTACTGGCAAAATTTTAATTAAATCTGGATTTGGTACTTCGGCACTCGTCGTAATGTGCGTACTTTTTTTACTTTGCAACTGAAATAAATAGCATACATAAAATTATTAAAAGTGTTAACATCACTTAAATAAAATAAGAAAAAAACGATAGAATTACTCACTTTCTTTCTGCCATTATTTTTTTTGCTTTGTACTCTTTTTCTTGAATAATTTAATGGAGGCAAAAGGAGACTCAGAACGATCAGAGCTCGAAAAGCATCTAACAAAAAGAAAAAAACAGGCATTTTTTAAACAAATTTGACGTTTTAGTTACGATCAATAAACTATATTTAACAGCATAAATAGAAACAATTTATATTACACTAAAATAATCACCATCATTAACAGGGAGATTTTCAATCTTCTTTATAACATCTGATCAATTTTCTGTGGCGTTAGTAAGAATTTTATTAGTATAAAAGGAAGGAAATTTGGCCACGAACTTGTTCGTACAATTCGGATAAATACTAACAAGATCTTGTTCTATCTATAAAATAAAGAAGCCATAATTTATATTCGTAACAGTAATTCTAAATTGAAAGAGATGACTTGACTCGCACTATTTCATCATGATAGTCTAAAAGGCGCGGATATGTTTAAAAAATGCTTGATATAATAGGGCCGGAGTTTATGATCCATTGTCTTCTATTTAGAAAAGTTTTTTGAAGACAGAGTTTGATCAATTCTTTATTATGGTCAGATGGTAGCTTATGTTTCATCCACGATATCTGAAACCAAACGTATAAATCAGAATAATTATGTTGCGTACTTATAAACATTAATTTAAAAGCTGAGATTTCAAGATATATTGACAAATCTTTTCTTCTAAAGTTTGTTCATTGAAAAGTGAAGTTGTTATGCCACTACCTGAAGCTGTAGGACTTTCCTTTAAGTATTGTGCTTTTCTCTTCATTGCTAATGCAGAGTATTTTTTGTCTTTAGAGGAAAGTTTTGCGCGGATTGTCCATAATCGATATTCAATAAATCCCTGCCGAGTTTTAGGATCAAAGTAATGTTCCTAAAAATATTACATTAAATATTAATAATAAATACGAATATCATAATTCATGAGAAATATCACTGAAAAAACATTGTTATCTTGAACTTACATATCTTTTATATCCTTTCACATTATTTTTTAATGAAGGGAATTCGGAAACAATTGCATTCGCAAGTGATATTTTACTTTCATCCGGAGGATAGCTGAAGCAGAATGCCATTACATTACATACACTATCTTGAGGGATGAAACAAAAAAATTATGAACGATACTTACAAATTGTCGTTTTGCGCTGAAATAAGCTCAGTCACGACGATATGACTGAGTACGATACGTACGAGGGTTTTCCTATGAGACTCATTGAAAGAGTTTTTAAGTTCAGCATTTAATATAGAGGTACCTTGAACATGGTTCTCAAGTGTTTTCTTTACAGTTTCGAAGCGCTAAAAATAAAAGAAAATGATGAAAACTGACTTGTAGAATATACATAAAGGATATAAATTTCACGTTTATTTTGAAAAATAGAAAAACTTTACCGAGAATACATTTAAATTTGGCTCCAAGTTCTCTTTACAGGAATAAAGCATTGAAAGCTGCTGGGATTGACATTGTAGCGTATTGTTTATGGAAAGTACTTTAACACGATTAATAGAAACGATTGTTTTATTAGTAGTTTGCGAGGACTGTTGGTCTGATGTGGTTGCAATATTTTCAAAAGGCATTTGCATTTCAGTTTGTTGTACTGCTTCACTTTTTTGCGACAATTCATGCACATTATCTCAATGGAGAAGGTTTCCAGTATTATCTGAAGAAAATTGAATGTGAAATATACAAAATTACAGATATTTGGCTTATAGATTACTCTACGCATAGTATGCAAAGCAAACTTACAGTTGATTGAAATTTTAATTTATTAAGAAATTTTGTTAATTTTCCTGGGTCCCAATTTAATTTGTAGTTCTTGCAAATCTTATTCTGAAAGCTCTAACAGAACTTCCCCATTGATAGATTGATCTGAGAAAAGCAGAATCTTTATTAGTAATTGATATTAATTACAAAAATAGACGAAGTAATGAATAGGCCACACATGAAAATATTTAAAAGACAGCATGTCAGTCATATTACAAGAAAAAGATATCCAGAAAATAATGCAGGAAAATAATCCAAAAACCGTGATAAACATTAAAATAAATCTGTATATAACAGAATAAAACATACGTGTCATAGGCAACCTTATAAATTATACATTACAAATTATTGAGAAATTTTACGAATAAAATATTAAACAAGAAAATCAATGAAATAATGTGTTATAATTGCAGAAATTATTCACAAAATGAATACAAAGCAATACCATAGCCGATCACTTCAGAAATATACTTACTTTTATAAAATAATGTGTCGAAGACTAATGTAAAGATTATTTGAGGTTGGCTCAGTCCACACACTAAATGGTTGAAAGTGAGCAAATGAAGAAACTGTGATAAAAAGTAAAGCATATTCTGAAGCTTCAACTTCAATGCAAAATGCATAAAATGCGGGTCAAAAATTATAGTATAAAAAATTTATACTTTTAAAATGGTCTCCATCTACAAATGAAGCCAGAATATCATTCTCTGATGGCTGTTCAGAGAGAATGAGCCTCGTCACAATTTTCCATTTCCTGCACTTTCTCTTCCCTTTCCTCTACTGCGTTATTTGCATAAAATTCATCTTCATTATTGTCAACAATCAGTAGGTGTATAGGGCCGGTTCTGAT